ATGAAATGTAATTAAATTTATGGAATAGGAAAAACGATACGCCACATTACCCTCCTCCTAGAAACCAGATAGGGTTGCGGTAAAAGCAGGCTTAAGTCTGTCGATAGACACTTTTGCTTCCTTATTGTTGATCTTGATGACGTAATATTTGGAAGTTCGACGTAGAACATTGTAGGGGCCTTTGTAAGGAGCTGTAAGCGAGGGTCGAACTGAATCATCTCTGACGAACACCTGGCCGCAGGTTTTAATGTCGGGGTGAACAAAAACTTTCGGTGTAGTATGCCATGCCGCATCGGTCGGGCGAAGGTCATTCATAGTACGTCTGAATTCGGTGATAACGTTATGTTCGTTATTAGATGGCTTGTTCACATCGAAAAATTCGGATGGCAGTCGAAGAGTCGTACCATATACGAGTTCTGCGGGTGTTGCACTTAAATCCTCTTTAAATGTAGAGCGCAGACCGAGCAAAATTAATGGAAGATATGTTGTCCACTTGTCAGCACTATGACAGAGAATGGCCGATTTTAGTGTACGGTGCCATCCCTCCACCATTCTGTATGCTTGTGGGTGGTAAGGCGTCGTACGTAAATGGCTAACGCCCAGTCGCTGCATTAGTTGTCGAAAAAGTGCGCACTCGAACTGCCTACCGAGGTCAGTCGTAATTGTCGCAGGGACACCAAAGCGAGAAATCCAGTCGTTGGCTAAAGCCCTGGCAACCGAAGGCGCAGTGATGTCTGGGAGAGGTATGGCATCAGGCCATCGCGTAAAACGATCAATTATTGTAACACAGTAGCGATTCCCCTCTGAAAGGGGGAATGGCCCTACAATATCGATGTGAAGGTGTGCGAATCGTCCTGAGGGTATGGCACGTCGCTGTAGCGCTGTTCTGTTATGGCGGATGATCTTGCTTCGTTGACATTGTAAACAATTGCGAGCGAACTCTCTACTGTCGCGTTGCATGGATGACCAAATGAAACGTTCGGACATAAGGCGCGCCGTGGCCCTTGTGCCGGGATGTGCAAGGTCATGCGCAGAGTATAGAACATCGGCTCTAAACTTTTTTGTTATGAAGGGCCGAACCTTTCCAATTGAGCAGTCGCAGTATAACGTTTGCGAACTGTAAGGAAGAGCAAACTGTGTAAATTTAAGTGAATGAGCAGTGTTACCTGACAGCATAGCTTGCAGTAAAAGTTCCAAGTAAACTCGCGGCGCAAATTTAAATTTAACCTCAAAATAATTTCACCAAACACTTGAATGGGGGACCCATTTGCTGCAAACAAATTTATGCCGGTATCTTTAGCTCGTGCTGTCTCCGCATTAGGTGGGATCACTGATATGTCAGCGCCCGTATCAATTAAAAAATTAAGTTTCGATGACGTATCAAAAATGCGGAGCCGGTGATTTTTGACGACGTCAGGTTGTTTGCGAATACCGGATATCGTCGCAGCCGAGCAGTCCTATTGGTTTGTTGCGGTTTTTGCGAACGTACATGGTTCGCGACATTTTGTAGCTTTGTCGCCGAACTTATTATGGTACCAGCAGAAACCGTTCTTGGAAGTACTGTTTTGAGGTACCGTTTTTGAGCGTGATAGCGATCTGGCGCGTGGACGGTCCCTAACCTTAAACTGCCT